TCAATTGGAAATTGATCCACTTTTTTATTGAAAAAAATTGTTTAGTGATGAAGCTCGCATCTGGTTAAATATATAAGTCAACAATAAAAATTGCCGTGTAAGGAGCAAGATCAATTCTCAGAAAATTCACGGGGTTTTAAAAACGAAACCGAAGCGTGTTACTGTCAATACTGATTTTTTCAGATCAATGATCATTGTCATTTGTTTCCCAATTTGTATTACATCAACCTCCATCTATTTTGGTTTCAACAAGATGGCGCGACACCTGATTCTGCTACGACAATCATAAAATTACTGAAAGAAAAATTTTAAAACAAATTTATTTCACAAAATAGTCGAAACCATGCGATATAAATACACTGAATTATTTTCTTTGGTTATTTTTTAGTTAATTCTGAAAAAAACAATTGACGCTTGGGAAGCCAACATAACTAGTCTTTTCAACTAAATAGATTTAGATTTATTTGGTAATAACTGTATGTGACGAGAGGGGGAAATCATATGCGCACGTTTTCTTTGTTGTAAATAACTGTAAATAACGAGCATTACTGAAGTCGTGACATAATTAACAATACAGAAGGAAAGAAAATAGCTTTACTATTGAAATAAACAGATTATAAAAATCTTATTTGTTACTCTATACCTTGTATTTTTAAATTTGTAAAGTATTATGAATTGTTTGATATTGAACATACAATTATTACAAACATGAAATGTTTTTATCTATATTTAAGAAAACACTACGATACACAGCGGAAGTTCAACTGAAGATTGAAATAATACACATGTTGATGATCTAGAAACATGTTCACTCACCTCAGAGTTGGGGCGAGTATAAGAGTCGTGCCACCATTGATATCGCAACATGGCGGCTTTCGAGATGAATCGATTTTTCGCGCAGTTTGTTGTAATGTAATAGTAATTTTCATAAAGGAAAATTAATTTTAATATGAAATAAGAGGTTCCCCCCCACGACAGTGTGGATTACCTTTATGAGCCAAAGACAAATACCGCAAACATGAGCATCACATCACGTACTTCTTAAGCTGTGTATATTTTAACGAAACAGGAAATTAATTGCTCGTATAACTCCGAGATTTTCCACATTAACCCGGAGCCCGAAGATTACGTGTGAAACCAGGAGACTCCAGGTTTCAGACGGAGAGGTTACTACTCTATTTGGCAACGCCGTGATATTACATATCAATATTACATTCGTATTTTCTATTTAGATCAACGAGCTTGAATTACCGATTGAATTATAGATTTCAATCTCGTTGGTTTTCCAGTTAGATCTGCCGTTCAATTGAAGCAACGAGTTACAACTTCCGGTCATGCGAATTAAATTTACTTTATATAAATTTTTCAGTTTTGGCAAAAAATACAACTTTTAAATGAATAGATGTAATCAAACAAAATAATTCCAAGCTCAAAGACGAGAGGCATACGCGAATTATTTGGATGGTATTTACTTTCTTCGTATTGTTTTGTCTGCAGTCAAAAAGTCTGGGTCACTGTTGCTGATGTAGAGCCTACTATGTAGGTAGCACAACTGAAGAAAATACGCATAATAGATGTGACACAATTTGTTTATGGTTTGGAAACAAAGAAATAATTTGTGTTTCAGCATATTTATTGCCTTCTCGATTAACTTAATTCTATGGTAATTAATGAGAAAACATTATTTCAAGTGTTAATTAAATGTTTAACGATTCCAGCCATTTATGTACGAAGTAGCACATATCTGTGAGCATTAAAATTTATTTTGATTTCAACAACATAAACAATTATTTTTCTGATGAATTATTTTTTAAATGTAAAGTTTATCATGTTCTTTAATGCATTGTAAACAAAATGTATTTACACACCAGATAATTAAATAAATATGATAGTACATACTTACCTTTAAAACTGTATTTCCGATCTCATCTTTGTAATGTAATGCTTCACGTATTTTCCCCATTCTGCCATATTTCTTAAAAACTGCATGTTCCCAATACAAGTTTCAGGGTTAGCTGATACTGAAATAGTTATAAATACGTAAATTGTGCAGAAAATAAGATGGCCTACAAATGGAATATTGGCGGACGAGGTGAGAATAGGAACAGAGACCATTACTTCTAGGCTGTCCGGGTGACGCCGCGTCGTTGGCAGATAGGCCTAATAGCCCCGGACAGCCTAGAAGTAATGGACTCGAGCCGCGGAAGCCTACATGTACAAACAGAGACCATTGTCCGATTTTCTTTAGAATGGGATTATTTGAAAGCTAGTGCTGGCAACACAACTGACTATTCTGTGGTCGTTGTGTCCTTGAACTTATTAGACTCTCCTTCCCCCATTCGTTCGTTTGCAGTTGGCTAACTTGTAAATAATTACGACGCTCCCTGGCTGTGATGTCCTCCACGAAAATTTAGTGCGCCACGAGAAATAATTGAAATTAGGAAGTGCAGAGCTTTGTGCTCTTCTGTAAAAATTCTCTCTTTAAAAAAAAATTACATTGAATTTAGTTTTTATGTGATAAGTATTATGTTTGTTTTAAAACCGAATCTTGAATGTGAGATGCATATTTGTGACGGTGCACGTGTTTACTTCTCTGAAGTACACGTGTTGTTCACTTGTTTCGCGAACTGTCACTTTATTCCATTCTTAAGAAAATCGTTTTATAATGCGCGGCTGCGCTAATTAAAAATACATTAAAACAAGAGTGTGGTATTTGTTACAATAGCGTAGCGTATTTTATGCCCAAAGCGTGGGGTTGCCTTTGCAACGAAGGCGTTTCACCGCTCCTTGCGTCATCGACCCAGACCGCTGGGCTGGCTTCCGCGCAGGGAAGAGGTGGTCGGGAAGGCGTCGGCCTGCACCATATGTGGCGAAGGGGGCGCCGATGGTGGCGCCACTGGCTCTCCCCTTCGGTGAAAGGACAGCGGGCCTCCGACCTTGTTCCGCTTACGTCACTCTGTGTCTTCTCCCGTCGCGTACTCCGTCGTGGCAAAGTCTTGGATTACTGCGGCTAGCTCAGGAACATTAATGAAACTCGAGAATAGTTACTTAACTCAAACTTTCCGGCATCCAAGGTTATTTTTAGTTAAATAGTTATTTTCTTAATGAGATGCAAGAATACAATATACGCGTCAGACTGGCATGCCGCGGAAACAATCACATCAAATTTGACTAGGCTCAAATTGAACTTACGGAGGAAATATTGTAGCGTCGAGAACACTTGAAATGATTTTTTTAAGTCCTAACTTTGGCTATTAAAAACGATAACTTAAAACATGCGTTTATTTCTTAAGGAAAACGTAAACCTTCAAATTTACTATGTAAACATTTAATTACGTGCTTACTATTATTTTCAACTTATAACATGGTTAATATCAGTTACCTTAAATCGACATTTCCAGAAATGAAAATGCCATAAATTTTGTATTATTCTGGTATTAACATAAGCCGTCTGTTAAAATACACGATGCTTCGGCGCCTAATTTTCAACAGTACTTGTCATGTGTTGACAACAATACTTGACTTGAAAGCTAATAAAAACAATGGAAAAGGTATTACACGCATCTGTTTTATAAGAAAAAAACACAAATTGTACAATTCAGTTTGTAAAAATTTAATTACGAAATAACCTTTCGAATAACGAATGTCAAGACAATCACCAGCTGTATTTGCGCTTTCGTAGAGATTCCTCAAGAATGATTTGCATGTGGAATGTAATAAAACAACTGAATACTATTGTTCATATTTGTTTAATGGTGACCTAATTCCTGCTTTTCTCATTTCTGTTGAAATTACAGATCAATGTGAAGGTTATGAGAAGATAAAGGAAAGTCATAACTCCTTGACTACTTCTTGATTTGATTTATTTCTTCAAAAACAATAAAATGTACATATGTAAAGCACTATAATGGGGACAAAACATTGAAGAAATGACAGCAAAATCGCTGGAGGAGCTTAATACAATACCGGAAACTGCGTTTCAGAAAAACTTCGAGGACTGGAAAAACGCTGACGAAATGTTCTCAAGGGAACTATTTTAAATAGGACAAACTCACATATTGATGAATGAATAATGTTTGTGGAGAACAACTAAGTTGTTGAGTACATATTTGTTACTAGAGAACGCTAGTTATTATCCGAATCCCGATTAACCCAGGCAGTCATTAGCAAAAGCAACACAATAATTCATCGAAAATGGCCGATGTCTTTAGTGACTTTAAGAAAATTGGGACTTTCCCCAATTCTGTAATCATTGAACCCCCTTGTCAATCTTTGGTTGTGTCCTTCGTCATTGACCTTCTCAGTTTTAGTTGTCTTTCTAATATACGCGGTAAACTTGGTTATTCAATTTACGATATTAGTACTCATATTGTTTTATATCATTCATATCTTGACAATTTTTTCCAAATATTTGTACTCTATCCTTATCAAATCAAACCCACATTGACATATGCCTTTACACTTTGGATAAACGTTACACCTGGCAATTTTAACACTGTACAAACCTTCCAAAACAAATTTCTCCGAAACCTTCTCAATGCTCCATGATTTATATCCAACAGTCAAATTTAATATGAACTTCATATACACCTAATTACAGATTATCTTACCAATTTATTCTCAAAATGTTTCACACTCTTACTGTCCTGTGCAAGTGCAGTCCCCTTTTGAAATAGGTCAACAAAACGACACTTCAAACAGAATCCAATCAAGGTTTCGCAAATACCTCTCCCAATCTCCTTAAAATAAAACACAACTTAGACACTCCCAAATTCCAAAGAATCTACCTGCAGAGGCTGCGAAATATTGCTTGGATGAATTGGGAGAGCATTAGCAGAAACTGTAACGGGAAGTGTTGTGAATCGCCTTCTGTGTTCTCAAAGGCGAGAGAGTTATGGGAAATAATTGACACAGATTATTACTTTGCCGAAGGAATCAAAGAGTATTGAAGAGATTGTCATGGTTACCTCTGTCTGGACGAAAATAAATGTTCTTCTTACCAATGTCACGTTAGTCATGCCTTCCACTTTTCAGCTCTGCATCTCAGAGCGCTGGTTCAGAGACACTACCAGGACACAACACGATAATTGCTTGCTGTTAACATATTACTCGCGCAACGTTTCTTAAACGATGGATAGAAGAAATGCGGGAAGAGTGGGGGTATTAGTTACGAAATCGGCCACCAGGTTTTATGAAGCAATGCCAATCTCTGGAGAATCAGTCATGCCTTCGCAACTTTCTCAATAATTTGCGTTCTAATTTTCTCAGGAGTTCCAGGTATTTCCTGTAATAAAACTTCACCTGCTTTGGTCATTTATTTAGATTTTTTGAAGAAAATCACGGTCAGAAGTTCTCATCTTCAACGGAAAATAGTTTCTATTTCGCGCCAGTGAAGACGTGTTTGCAATGTTGTCATCAGTGCACGCTGCGAGCTTTTGTCTTCAACTGTTTATTGTGTTAGAGGGGGAAGCAAGGTCATCGATTAAGAAAAGTTGCGCGAGTAATACCACAACTTTCAATGCGCCCCATATGCGTGTTGCCTAGGTCCTCGGCACGATCGCTACACAAATGGTCGCGGCACCTCTGAATTTCAAATAATGCGAGCTCGTCGCGTCTGATGTGGAAAAAATAGGATGCCAGGATATCTGACAATGGGCAACTTTTTCGACGCGACCGCCCAGGAGGTGGTGCAACATTGTATTGATTTTCCGAAGCAGTTGAAAATCGATTTCAAAAAGCTTGCATAAAAATAAGTATTGTCAATTGGGAAGGAATTCGCGTGGTTTTTTGAGCAAGATTAAATACACTGCGGGAAGTTTGAAATGTATGATCTTTGCTTGTAAAATGCTTTCAAAGAGAAACGAAACTGAGGTTTTTGAAGCGTGGCGCCAAACTTGTATTATTTTGGCGGCCCATTATCAACACTATCTATTCTTGCAAACTAGCAATCTGTCTATAATTAATTTTATATATTTAATACACACTTCAATGTAAGAAAGATCCAGTGCATTTCGTCATTGTACCATATCGTAAGCCTGCAAGCGCCAACAAGCACGGGGAATTCTAGGGAGTTCTTACCCCACTTCCTTGGCAGAAACGCCGATTCACAGCACATGGCGCTCGCAACGGCTACGCGAAATGATGAAATATCATTGAATTTTTTCCTAAGCCTGGTACTTAACAATTTGGAGTAAGCCCTCTACAACTGCCTGGGAGAAGAAGCTTCAGAATCCAGAAATAGATTGAACATAAAGACAGACTATCGTAAGGAAAGACAGCAGAATTCACATTTCGACTGTCAGCTTCCAGAAAAGAGTTCAAAATAATAAGAAACTTCCGCTTCAAGTAATCAAAATTCTCATTTCTCCTGCACCAGAATCAAATTAAAATAAAACAATTGATGAAATTTCTGATCTTGTTGAAGTATCTGATGAGGATGCTGTGGAATAGATACTTTCTAGAGATTGGAGTGCACATCACTTAATATTAGTAATACGAATAATGTCTATTTATTTCAGAACAGTACGAAATCTTGTTAAATGAAAATACAGATTAATAAATTCATAAGAATATTTTGTATGCTAGTTTTTAATTTCTATCTCTTGCCAACTCAAGAGAGTACATTTATGTGAGCCACCATTTTGAAATTTTGCGACATGTAATGTGATAAATTCATTACCTTATTTATGTCTATATGTACGCCAAATTTCAGGCGATTAGTTCTTCCAATTACCGAGTTATGACTTTCGGCCAAGAGCAACGTACTTTCATCCTATAGTGTCCGCAATGGCGGCGACCACAAACTCGTCTGATTCAAAGTTGATGGTGGCAGTACGACAAACCGTAAGTAAAGTGAATTTAAACTTCAAGAAAGAACAACCAAAAACTGTATAAAATTTCGTTAGTCCTCCAGCTTACTACAACCTTACTTAATTCACTTGTGTGTAGCAAGATTAAACTTCAATTAATTTATAAATGTATATTGCCTTTCATTCACCACAAAGGGAAACTACAACTTGAAACCCACTCTAATCCATGTACGTAGGCGAACACATAGGCACACATACGTAGGCACCTCTTAACGCGTAGCATCTCCAACAGCTTCATTCATTTTAATAATACACATTAAAGGTCAGGAAATATTTTATTATGCGTCTTCACATTATGTAAAACGTATTTCTGATAGTGAAACATAACCAATATAAACAATAGCACATGTCGACATTTAAACGAAGAATTCGGGGTGTTTCTCGGCAAACGTTTTCTGGGGGTCATATTTCGAAATTAGTTTGTACCAGATTTGAGGCCTTTGCTTGATTAAGAAAGTGATGCCTCTGATGGATGTGGCCTTCTGTTTTGGAGTACAACTAGCACAATCGTTAAGTATAGCCTCCTTAAAAGCACCTGCAACATAATTGTTTTTTCATTACAAAAAACGTGATTGTTAAGAGCTGGATGTTGTTTAAATGCATTTCGCCGAATGAGGTAATTGCATTTTGCATAACACAAAAATGGAGAATTTAAACATGTGATTCTTCTACAAATTGCGTGATAACGATAGAAGAAGAAAATCTGCTTTAGCAAGAAGAAAAGGTAAAAGTAGTGGAGTTATAATTGCACATTGATTCTGTATTGATGACGATATTGTGCAATTGCATATTTTATCCTATATTTCATTATTGCTTAAGATAAACAATTTGGTTGAGGTAGTACTGAGAGTAGTTCATAAAATATTACGTAACGTTTGACATACAATGATTCAAGATGCAACGATGGAATCATGGAAAATCCTAATCAATGTAAAATGAAGCTTTGTTATTTTATCTACCAATACAAACGTTTCAAACTAATGTTTACGCAATAATTATTACAATGTGTTGTCTGTACATATTGTTCATTTTGTCTGGACTGCTTAGCCAGAGATCGGATCAGGGACCTATTCATTGTATCATAATTTATAGTTGTAAAAGCGTAATAAATACACCATGAACGAAGTTTCATACGTGAGTGTTAACGTAAAATGAACATATTGTTTTAACAACGCCCTGATAGCAACAAGGGGCACTTGAAGTTGCCACCGTCACCGTCGTCACCACCGTCTAGTCGCAAGTCTTAGAACTACCTATAATTTTCTAGAACTCGTTCCCCATTGCATGACGTCCTGTATCTACAGAAGGCTTATTAATATTCAAGCTATCAAAGAAATGTCTGTGATGCAGCTTTATTCAAATAGAAACTCCTCGTGATTGAACATATAAAATGATTCTACACTCTAGTACATTGATGAATCATGTAAGAAACGAAGATACAAAATGCATTTTGGTTTACACAGCATACAAGAGAAATTACATAACTACAGAAAATTCTGTGTGGATCATTTGAAAAAGACGATCAATGTGAGATTGTTTCATTAGGGCCTAATGTAAGTCATACGAGAGAAAGAGAGAGTTCGCTTGACAGTTTAGATTGACAATTCATGATGATGATGATGATGATGATGATAAACCATGAAGAAAAACATCGATAACTAAAATTGAGATGCAACTCACTCTTGATTTCCTCTCCCTTATCACCGCAATCCCGTTTATCCAAGAGGCACTGACTGTAATAATGGACCAACGGATCGGTGGTAAAGATCTCTTCCAAGTCGATCTCATTGGGAGGAGCGGCGGACACGAGGGCGACGACCAGCGCAGCGAAGGGCACGCAGCGAGACATGGCGGCGGTTTCTGCAACTGCGTTCCAGGTCACAGAATCCCACATGTAGTAATCGAGTTAGTTTCAGGCTAATATCCTAGACTGTGCGTGATCTGGGCTGTCCGGGTGACGCCACGTTGAAGGCTGTGTTGCCGACGTTTCGGCCATCCGGCCGTGGTCTCCCTCAGGGCTGATATGACCAAAACATTTGGCAAGTTACGACAAACCAGCCCTGAGGAAGACCACGACAGAATGGTCGAAACGTCGGCAACACAGCCTTCAACGTGGCCTCACCCGGACAGCCCCGATCACGCACATGACTCTGGCCGCGGAAGCCTAGGACTTCATTATCCTAGACTGTCTGTTTTGAAATTTTTATTTAGTACGATGGTTCACAATTTATTAACGAAGGTCTTTTTTTCTTTGTTTTCAAAGTTATTTATAGAAATTTATTGTAGCCAACGTTTCGAGGCTTTGTAATATCTCAATATTAAGGCTTACGTATATTCAAAGTATAAATTGTGATGGTTCTATTATTTTATTTAGTGAAATAAATACATTAATAATGAAAATCAGAAATATACATTTATTTATTTCAGGGTCGATGGTTTTATGGTATACACCATAAACTTGAACAAGGTACCTTACTGCTTGATTAAATAAAAAAATTAATATTCAAATCAAAATAAAACATTTATTTACAATTTTAAACAATACTTAGGAAACGAAGTAATAACAACGAGAAGAACTTTACCCCAACAATTAAAATAAAAATATCTTTGCGGTATGTTCGTATTTCAATGTACGTCTTCCTGCTCATGTGCACAAGCCCTGAAACAGAAATTTACATTCACATTCTTCCCAAATCTTCCAGCTCCTCCAAGACCTGCACTCCTTGTCGACGTTCAAATCACTCAGTCTTTACTTCTAACTGAATAACGCCTTCCAGTTCATAAAATTTCGTCGTCCACCTGGCCGTATATCATACCCCGTTCGGTAAGACGTTCATTCCTATTCTGGTTATTGATTTTTTAAAAATATTTTTGGGGTCTCGTTTGTCCCTATGGTATCTATCATATATTTATATAGGTGGGCTGTGCACACACGAACACACACACACACACACATTACACACACATAGTGTATGTGTAATCTTGGGCCCATTATAACAGGGGCGTTAAAAAAAGAGCATTAATATTTTAAAACAGAAACGAAAAAACTAACAAGGTAAAAACAGTTCTATTATGAAACTATGCAAACCTCAGACCACTTAAACAAGTCCGCGTTTGGAATACGAGTGTGTTCTCCGTCCGAAAATGTTTAATATCAATTTTCCTCTTTTTACATAGCCCTCTTATAATGGACCAAAGCTGTATACATTATATTACGCAATTTATACTTTA